ATCTACACCTTAGGAAAGCACAGGCTGCTTTTGGTTCGCGTTAACCCACTATTCTCACAGTTGAGGACATACCACGAAGCTCCAATTGGCTAACCTGCAACGTTTCCCTCAGTGAAATACAGCATTGAATCATGGTGCTTGCGTGTAGTGCACTGCTTAGGGGGCCCTGCAAGACAAATGAGTTTAGTCCCCCTCAGACTGAGCAAGCCACTCATTCCTCCGGTGTCGGCGAATTAGTACCAGGCCTATCTGGGAGTTTAGCAGCAATGACTCGATGCATCGCCAAACAACACGCGAGTCATTGTATAGTCCAGGTAAGCATTCAGTCACCTATAACGATGCTTAGTGAAATCAAATTCATGACACAACCTTCTGGGGCTGATCAACGCCGGGAGTTTTGTCCGTTTATCGTTCATCGTGGTGCCTGATAAAAAAGTACAAATGCGTCACTCTTCTTCTCAAATAGCATTGTAAGTTTCGACTATTTCACTTGCGTCTATTTGCAAGATACAGTGGCTTTTTTGTTATCCAAGGATTTTATTTGATCCCATTTGATGGTATTTCGTTGCCATCAGTGATGACAACACTAAAGGAAATTCTACACAGGGTACACAAAAAGACATTAAAATATAACAAAGGCTTTGAAATTGATGTGACAATTTTCAACAATAACTGCTACATTTCTTAGAATGTCTACTATTAAACATAGATCAGAATAATGGTTGTTCACACGAGCGTTGTTTAAGCAGCAGAATCACAACGGCTAAGCAGACATCGAAGTCCAGATATTTTCTGAAGAAAATCTAAAAATCCTTAACCACAATCGCAATATAGCTTAGTTGTAGCCTCACAGCAATGCAAAACTGTGGTATGCGACAGGTTCGAAAATTAATAAAATCGAAAACTATTAGGCGATCAATGTCTTTTCCTGAGATTGAGATTCTCTATTCGATAGTTGGCGCACTTCTTTGGATTGGACTTGATGCGACAATGAACAACCACATCGCGAGGATGACCACCTCTGCGTCATCTACTCGAATCAATCTGGCTCTGAAGAATGCGAAGTAGTCGAAACGCTACCCGAGTAAATCTTTTCATCAACATCTTGTTTGCTTAATAATACGAGGAGGTGCACTGATAAATATTCTACTGATATTAGCGATGAAATATGCGCAGCGATAAAGCAATGCTTAAAAAGTGCAGGTTTCGAGGAATTGGTAGCGATAGTCGAAATAGCACGGACACTCTTCGTTGTCAGTTAGTTCTCAATCGCCTATATGACCATCTATGTGTGACTGTGTAATTTGCCTCTTCAGCAGAGACGGTGACTGCATGAGTTCCATGAGTTCAGGTACGATATAGCTGATCTCTTGTGGCACTTCCGGAGGGAAATATATTGGCGAAACGGGCAGACTTTTATGTATCCGCATAAAAAACATCTAGATGGCAAACGAAAAACATGATAAATTACACACTAGGAAGGCATAGGATACAAAGCGTAGTGGAGACGACTTTGCTATAAAAGTCACTGTCCTGTCATAAGGTGCTTGAGCACCAGCGCGTAAACCGCTTGAGGGTTTTGGGTAAATGCCCCGAAAAAATTTTGCAATGAATAGCAAGGAGGAATGCCCATACGCGACCTGACCCTGCATGTTCGCATCAATTTCTGATGTGGGTGGTGCAGTAAACCATGTGACACTCCAATTAACTCCCACGTCCGACTTTCTATTAACCTCGGCATTGATTGAATAATTCTTTCTACTTCAGTTCAGCAAGCACGAGGTGTTATTTTACTTCTTTATTTACGCACAAGCTGACGCTTCGGCGGATTTCGCCTTCCTCAGAGCCTGGAAAGGCCAAGTTGGCTGCAATCTACACGGCCAAACATCTCCATAACCAAACAGAGGAAATGCTGAACCAAAATTTCAATCACATTGAACACAGAATGATGCACGCTCACCGCTTTCTATGAGTCTTCCACCAAATATGTCACGTGGAGACCAACCGCACAGAGTTCACACGGAATCGTATTGTGCCCATCTCATCAAGATAACAGGCTTATATACTGCCCAATATCACGCATGATAATGAGGTACTCCTCCCTGCAGTTCATTTTCGGATTCTTGGAATTAAACCAGAATGTGCGGGACAACGAAGACCTGTACAAACCTCGCGTTGGCTTAAGAAGATCAGTTTATAAGATCACATAAATAAATAATCCAGAGTGCCTCTAGAGTTTTACGCGCTTGTGTTCTCGATTCTTGCGCGAGGATCGTAACACTTACTTCAAAATCTTCTCCGTTATGTTTCTGCGTCCTATACGTGCCTAGTGGAGTATTTGGTTTACGTTTGCCGGCTAGGTGATCTTTTATACGAACGCAGAGTGGTCTACCCGTTTCGCCAACGTATTCGTCACCGCACGCTTTACAAGAGGTTAGATAGACTCTACCCTAACTCAAGCAGTCACCGTCTCTACCATTGGAGCAAATTATGCAATTTTGCATTGCACATAGACGGTCGTATTAAGCAGTTACGAACTAGCTGGCGTCTTAGATTACTCGGTGGCATTTCAATTATCGTTACCGAATTCTCTAGACTGGCTCTTCTTAAACAGCGTTTTATAGCTACACTTACTTCATTTGAAATGAAAGGCAAAATAAACAGGATCTTATTGTCGCTTGAGTTATCGTTGGGGGGCCTGTGGCTTCCTTTGCACCTATCCGAGCTACATTTTCGTAGCCATTAAAAATGGCTATTTGTCACGCCAAGTTCTGGGATTCCTCTCTTTGCTTACTGCGCACACGCTGGTAGCTGTTCGAAACATGTTTCTCACAAGAGCCCTTTTCGTGTGAGAGGGGTGAGATGAGAGGTTATCACCACACAATGCAGGTCCATCGTTTCGCCTATCTCTCAGCTAGTTCTATTGATCAGTGCCATCAGCAATCACCCGTCAACGGGTGTGGATTTGTGCTCGCCATATGATTCCCATTGACAGGCGATTGTTGATGGCACTGATCGATAGAATTAGCTGAGAGATGGGCAAAACAAAGGCTCCGCATGGTGTGGTGGGGAACGCGTTAGCCCCCAAAAAGGGTAATATCGGGTTCGTTCTCCACCGCAGACACCTGGGGTCCGGAGTTTTGCAAATATCTCAGCGCCATTGTGGTTGCATCACACATAATACCCTGCCGTGAAAAAATTCTAGTAGGCAATAAATAGAAAGTTTGAATTATATGAACAAGTTTAACTGTTATTTGCCAGTAACGAGGACCAGAATGGAGATTATCGCGAAATCACCTATACGTAATCTACAGTGATTTCCAACGAAAAAAAAAACCTGGCTTCCGTTCAGAGTCACGCGCCGAAAATGATTCACTGGAGATAATTTTTGGTTGAGTTACAAATGTTGGTTTAGGTGAAACACTGAACAGTAGACGAATTGTGCAAGGGCAATGTTAATGATGTTGTGTAACGTTCGTACCACCTATTGCTGACCTCATTATACAGTTCGTCAGTTCAGTCGTCATAGTGGATTGCCTATAGACATTGGCACTCTCTAGAGAAAATACAAATACACACACACGCAGACACACACGCACACACACACAAACAAACGACGTGAGGAGCCATTATCAAATTTCTTTTCGACCAGCGCCATTTCTCACGTCCTTATTATCACTGCTACAGTTACTGCTCTCTTACACAATACAGAAGTTCAACAGCATGTTGTCATGAATACACTACATGCCCGTGGTTTTTTTTCTTGTTCTCATCCTTGTACTTTTCTCCGACATTTATCCTCCATCGCTGTTCTTTTTGGTAGAAAAATGGTCTCTGGTCATGAAATCTATTGCTACTATTAAGTTCAAATTCAAATTCTCCTTCGATTTGATGATAAAAACAATTTTAATGCGCACTTTTAAGGTACCAAGTGTAAGATTTTCACAGAGAACTTTATCACAACTTAATTTCCATTTTTTCCGAGCTAAAACAACTGTTGTCGCTGTTATGAAACACATGATGTTAAAGAGCAATGGATAAATCCTTCGACGTTAATCAACCACGTCGGCATGTGCTCCTATGCATCCGATTCCATCCATACTATCGTATAAAAGTGATTGAATGCACATCTGGCTTGTATAATCACTTGCGATAGGGCTACCGATGTATTATTGCAGTGTTTTGCACGTTCCCAACAAGTCTGGTACTGATTCGGACGACCACGGATAGATGGCGGGCTTGGTATGCCCAGGCTGGATGATCAACTCACTCAATCCATCCATCCTACACTACGCTTGATACGACATCATGTTTACTGTTGTTACTGGTTTTCTTGCTTTCTGATCAAACTATTTCATTCTTTCTCTTTCTTAATGAAAACACAGTCGTGTGCTGCTGTTCTAACTATGCAATTACGTTCGAGCAAATAAGCGTTGTTTTCGGATTTTTCCAGAATTTCGATCGTACATTACACGTGTATCATGCTAATATTGAATTAGCCTTTATCGCCGTACTATATCAAACACCAGTAAATTGTGCACTGGAGTCTTTCTTTCCTCGTCGTTTCTTGTACAGAATCATTAATAATTTCATCAGTTCTATTCTGGGAGTCACTAGCAATACTGGTATTATTTCAATTACAACTATATGAAAACAATATCGTATCTAGTCGAATCACACCGTTCTATAGTGCAACCCTTTCGATTGCTCTCATACCTTAAACGACACAACCATTATTTGGTTGCTTCTGAGGTTTTTGGTAGTTTAGCAGACTTAGAATGATGAATGGCAGATGTTTTTTTCTCTTCTCAATCAAAAACATTTTAAAACTATAGAATAACATTTCATATCTCCATAGTTGCTCCATTCGTGAACGAAAGAAGAAAACGAAACAATGGCGTGACGAAAATAAGGTTAAATTCAAGCCAGATAACCTATACATTAAAATTTAATGAATAGATTCCCATCGAAATTATGAATGCCATCCTATTACTAGTGTTTTTTTTGTCTTTAGCATAGTACTCAGTGATTCCTAGAATAACTAGGGCTTTCTGAAACTTCTATTCATTTTGAGTCATAGATAGCGTGATTGCCTTGTCGTTCTTCACTTATCTTCAGATGAAATTTTTTACACCACTTTCCGTCATTGTCATCGTTCTACTCAGCTGTACTGCTATCGTGGTAAGAATTTTTTCGCTGAGTTTTATCACCAATACTGTTTCCACAAATAGTTTTTAAGATATAAGACCATTTATTGACTTAGCGGTGTTTGTTTCTTCAATTAAGAACTCATTCAACGTCCCACCGACAGGAATCTGCTGGGCTGAAAAGGATGGAGATTGTATGCGGTGCGACTGCAGAAGGCCTTTGAAATGCTACAAAGGCACGTGCCGATAAATACCATATTCCGAGAAAATTCTTCATGTCTATTTATTCTTTTAACGAATAAATTTTGCTTTTCGGATGATTTTCTCAATAAGTATTTGAGATGTAGCGGATCGTTCATGACTTCCACAGCACTTACTCCTTTACATGTTGTAGCCAAAAGAAACAAAACGTCGAAAGAAAAGAAGCCTAATTCGTGATGACTAGAGTGCCGCTCGCTACGATCTACCTCTTTGTGATTTAAACCACGTGCTTGTTTTACATGCATCAATGCCGACACGAGGCAGACCAAGTGATACATTGATATCAGTACATCTCTGCACATGACTAAGTATTCTCACAGTGAAGGTCGTGATTGCATCTTTGTTTCAGCTTACTTATGAGCGTTTTCTTTCGACTAAAGGAATCACAGGCTTAAGAACAACCTTCTGTACACTCTAATCTCACCTTACCCTTCTAATTAGGATAAGGACCGAGATTTTTGCCAAACTATTCATAGTTTTCAACATGAGTACTAATTTTTTCAAACAGTTTATGTCACGATTGCACAGGACTGTTTAATTCAGGCTTAACAATTAAATCAACCGGTTTATGATTCATTGTTCCTGCGATTTGTTAACAACCAGCCAGATCTGCTATCATATAGCTGCTGCCTATCAAGCAAAAAAAAAAGGCTAAATCATATGTTTTCACTTTGTTGCATCTTGTTATAATTCGGTACGAAATATTTCTTGCAAAAATCTGCGAATTTCAAGCGCCTCTAGGTTTCTTACTAAGATTCTCGCTGGAATTCTGGAAAAGTAATGTTCGAAGATAAAATGCTGTTCGAACGTGTAGTATCTGTAACTAATGCAGAACCAAAACAGCTATTTACCTCGTGCTCTCGACCAGCTTCTCCGATTTTGGTTGGCTAAAGTAAGAAGAACTTCAGATTACATCTATAATGAAACTGAATCCATCATCCTCCCGATTTCGCGCGTAACGCATTCACGAAGGCGTCACCTCTGTGTCATTCAAAATGGGACATTTGAGCAGACCTCCATAGAGGTCGTTTTGTTCCCGTTGCTCTATATTCGCGTAAAAAACCGTTTCGCTGCCTTTTTGCAAACATTTTTTAGCTTATTTAGCTCAGATTTTGAGAGAGATGCCAACAGGGATACGCTCAGTTATGACCTACAACTATACAGAAAGCTTTTTTCGAACAAGTCCATTAACCGATTGATTCGAAATTTGCTGTCGTTCCAATTTCATTCGTTAGAATTAATCATAATTATCTCATGAATTGGGCAGGTATGCCAAATCATGACGTCAGTGTGTTTTCACGTTGATTATACTGGCAACCAGTAAATTATAGCATGCATACCATTGATACCATTTGAGCCATACAGCAATGTATCCTCCAATATTCCGTCAAGCTCACATTTTCTCAAGTCTTCTAGTTAATAGTAAAATATTGCTCGCTCTCAAAAAACCAACAAGTCCGTAGCAGTCGAAAAATAGCCGTCGGACCATGCGCTGGTCGCGATAAACTAGGCGTTGTCGCGAATGCGTAAATAATGTTGACTGACCTTCTACCTTATTGGAGTCTCCTACCTCATTTGTACCTTATTCGCAGAGAGAACGTTAATGGAAAGGAGAATTGCAGTGCAGAAAAGGTGAGCATGGAACAGAATGTTTTATAACTCAAAAGACCTGCTTTCTATAAACTTCGGCATAGATATATTTATTTATACCAACTCTGCTAGGAGACACCAATGCCCAATGTTGAAAAAAGGCCTTCTGGAATCTTGGGTTGCCATAAACAGTTGTAATCTAAATTGACGTGATAAAGTCATACAGTCTTATACGCTCTTCTTCTACTCTAATTTGTAGGCTCTGACGTGGCACTTCCTTCGGTCTAATGTTGCTGATAAACTCGGCAATGACGACCTCATGGAGGGTCCGGTCTTCTTTTTAGATTCTTTGTAAATATGAATGTGTCGTTTTCTTCAGCAAACGCGAAGTTTTTAAGCAGCATAGATAGATAATTTAAAAAAGCTAATAAACGTTAACGCCGCAAGCATTTCACTCCAAAATTTGCTTTCTAGGAATTGCAAAAGTCCCGTGATCTAATTGCTGTATGTGCCGGTCTTTCTTCTTTTAGTCTTCTGTAATGCGAGTCACGGTAACATGCAACTTGTGGCAAATAGTAGCCTCTGTAAGAGCAAGAAAACTGGCGTCCATGAAGACTGTTCAGGTTTTGTAAGTGCGGAGCAAAAAGCAGTCTCAATTAGGTGTAATGGGAGCATTGGTTTGCTCTGGTCCCATTGAAGTCTTGCGCAGCCCGAGATTTGATCCCTTCTAACCCCTTTCCTCACTTCCCTACCTCGTAGGCGGTAGCGCTCACTATGTGGGATGGTGAGGCTGATTCATTTCTAGTTTAGCTACTTGGGGTTGTCTGGGTGCCTAAACTAGCCTGGCTGGGGCTTTCTTCAGTTCTTCACCGAAATCGGTCACTACCTGTTGTGGATCAGAGGAAGATTTGCCACCTTGCTCCCAGTTTGATGTCGAACGTCAATGACTTCTAGTTTTAGTTCACTCCTAGTAGAGCTTCCACGTAGACATTTTGAACAACTTTTTAGTTGGGAGACCCTTATGGAGACAAAGCCTCTCTTAATGTTGCAGTTCGGCACCTAAGAAGATCCTCCAATCACGAAATGGAGGCATTTCCATTGAGTAGCATAGGATAGGTAAATTATGAGAAAACTGATAAAGTTCTACAGTCATCGGTGGTTGCTTAGATCTAGAAGTGCCGATATGACGGTCTGTATATACAGCGCTCATACTAGCATGTAAACCCAAAAAAAATGGAAGCCTGATGGTGCAGGTTAAGGCGTGAAAGCTAACATCATCAGACTAGTCAATAAGAAAAGTTAAAACCGGTTCATGCTACCCAAAAACTAGCGTTGCTCGACTAGTTCGAGAGGATGATGGCACTCGTTTCCTCTTAAGCTTAAATTCGGTTATGGATATCCATTCTTCTAAGCAATGATTTGAATTTGACAGTTATGAACAAAAGGATATTAACTAAAACTAGCTTAGACATCTTTGTCATCAAGATCTTAAGATTAAGCTATGGTGAATATGAAGTCGGACTTTTTCACAGGTATTTACAAAGAGTTCCCAGGATCGACTTTCTCTTAACCTCGGCATTGGAATATGAATGTGTCGCTTTCTTGTTCAGCAATCGCGAGGTTTTCAAACAGCATACATTTACTTCCATAAAAACACAATACAATATAACGCTAGCTGACGTTTCGGTAGTATCGCCTTCTTCAGAGCCGCTTTTTCGTGATGTTGTTCTAAACTTCCTCATTGGAAGTCACGAAAAAGCGGCTCTGAAGAAGGCGATACTGCCGAAAAGTCAGCTAGCGTTGTATTGTATTGTGTTTTTATGGAAGTAAATGTACGTTTCATACAAGATCCTGCCACATCTGTTGACCATTCATCTTTTATAACCTCCCGGTCGAAATAAAATCAGTGTCATGAATTTCCACTCACTAACTTGTGCAGTTGACGAGAGTAAACTATATCCTTTTTAAATCAGACCGGAAAAATAATCGCCGCTTAAAAAGTCGTTGTTACGGGCTTCATGTCAAAACAGGATACTAATTGAAAAGTGATACATGATAGGAAATTTGGAAGAGGAGACCGATAGGAGAATGGACATCGTTTTGCTGAACTTCTGTTCACAGTACATCTCTTTCATAGAAATTCCTTTTTCAGAACAGAGAGAATCGGTGCGGAACATAGTATTAATATAACGGCATGAATTATGCGAAAATTGAACATATCCTCATAAAAAGTTGATGCTTCTTTGACATCTCCGTTATACGATTATTTGGTATTGGCTCTTATCATCGCCCTCCTCGCGCGAATTCTAGATCCGACCGTAAGTTCGAAAAAAAACTCTTATCATCACCCAAAAATAACCATCCATGAAAATGACATTCCGGGAAAAATTTTTTTCTCATATGGTCATATTCATATGCTCATCCTCAATTAAGACTTAACTAGAGGATACGAGTTGCACATGGTAGACTTAAAACGTACCTAACTCATCTCGGTTCTTAGAACAAGAAATTCAGATCGCTTTTCACTCACCACTAAGAGCGTGTTCGGGAGGGTACGATAATTGGAATATGATTCTACTGCAACAGACCCAGCATGTCTGATAATGAATATCGGCTGCAAAAGGTCTTCCCGGGAGGTCTTGCATCGTAAGAGGTGGAAAATAGAAGGGTGAATGACAGCTACAGAATCTTCATCTCGTTGATTACATGTTCATATAACAGCAAGTATTAGAACCTAGTAATCCAATTCCAGTGGTATTTATAAAGAAATCTAAGTAGGGTTGAACCTTCGTGAAAACGGATTTCTTTTCGACACCAACCATACGCGCTCAACGCAATGAATGCCATCAAATGCTCAGTAAGTAGATATCGGGATTGATAGGCAATGAAAGGATGATTAGCTTCGAAAATAACGCTGAAGAAAGAAAAACACGTAGTGAACGTACAACGAGAAAGTACTAATGAAGTACCGAAGAAAGAGAAGAATATCTTGCCCCTTCGATCTCGTGAGGGAAGGGACAGTGATTATAATGACTCCCTATTTTTTTACAGTCTTTTTTTTATAATCGGCCATCATTTAACAACGCTATGAATAATCGATATCCTTTTCGATTTTTCACCTTATATTCCTATATTATTCAAATGAGAGAGATAGTCCAGATCACCGTCGAAAATCGGCGACCCAGGGCGATGCTGCACACGCCGAGCTCTCATTAATTATGTGAGCTGGATACGTGACCGTTATAATCGTAAATTGCTGAAAAAGAGTAGCTAGGGCCTACGCCCACCGAATAAACGCCTAACCAGAAGGTTATTAAGTTGTCACCCTGTAATCAAGTATCTTCACGCAGATTACCCAGCAAAGCTAAAATCCCCTACGTGCAGTCTAGCTTGCGGAAC